TAGGACCTGGACCTCTGGAACCAGGTAGAACTCTGTGCTGCAGAACCAGAACCAGCTGCTTTCACAAAACGACTCTTTTTAGTTTTTGGGGCTAAATGAGAGAAAAAAATGTAAATATTGTGATGACTTCGCAACATGAGCGGTGATTTTAGTGAGAATAGTCACTTTTGCGCCACTTTTACATAAAACATGTCCGGTGATGTGATCTGGACATTGCACTTGTCCATACTGTGCTTTCTGTGTATTTAACTAACTAACTGTTTATCGTTCTCCTCTGTTCAGGGGTAGTCAGGGCTTCCAACATCTTCCCAATCCTCAGTGCCATCCTGCTGCTGATGGGAGGAGTTTGCATCGCTGCTAGTCGTTTCTATAAGAGCAAAAGGAACATCATCCTGGGGGCAGGAATCCTCTTCGTGGCTGCAGGTACGTCAGGAGTACTCCAACAGCTGTTCATGTGCTGATATGCCAGTGTTCCCCCGTCTATGAAATATTAAGTTACGATACAACCAAAGTGAGTTCTCAGTTATGTTTTGAAAGAAATCATCTGTGGACGTAGTAGGAAAGAAAGACTTCCAGCTCAGAATGGAAGAATAAGTTCATGTCTCATGTTGGGCCTTAATCCTTTGACTTAAGTCTTGTTTTTGCGACTCTGAAAGCATGTTTGAAGCTTTTCCTTTTATTTTCTGGGTTGTCGGGGTGACAGGTCCTTCCTGGTCTAATAACAGTTGATTGGTTGGAAGTTTGTTAGTGAAAAAGCTGCAACATGTCTGTGACACGTCATAAACAACCGTAATGAGGTAGAAAAGTCCTCTAAGTGAGAATGTAGTCTGGTCTTTTTTTTTCTTTTTTCGGACGCCCGGTTTGCAGTTTTCCTTGTTGAGGTCAGTCTTCCTTGTTGGCCCATCCGTCCACCCTGACCTCACCCCACATGGGCTTTGGAACTCGGTTCAGTCCTTTGTTTTTACTTGCCGATTGGTTTGGTTTCAGATCATTTAAAAAGCTTTGGTTGACTCTTTCATTACAGTAAATGTCTGTTAGAAACTTGATTAAGTTCAGTCACTAAAACTACCTGGTTTGTTCTCCTCCATCCTCTGGGTCACCAGGGTGATGACCTGTTCTGATGTACGACTGGTCTGAGAGGAAACAGAACTGAGATCCAGCTGAGTTGTACAGAAATCTTTCTTGTTGAACGTTTTGTTGGCCCGTCCATCCACCCAGACCTCATCCTGACGTGGGCTTTGTAGCTCCATGCTAATGACTCCTTCCTTTGCTTTTGTCATAACTTATGAGATGAAATGTTTTACTCACTGGGTCAGAACGATGGATATCAGGTCCAAGTTTATTACTTACAACAGACTTGGGGCAAAAATTAGCTAAACATCAGAACGTATTGGCTGCAAATGTGTTTCTGATGATGCTAGCAATAGGTAGCGTTAGCTAGATCTGCTATCATATGAGTAGAGCCACTGATTAGCATCAATACGACCTTTTCACTACATGGTTGAAGCTTTTAGTCAGTTTTCTGGGTAACTGGAGTTCTGCTCAGTCTGATATAAGATCGGTTGGCTGGAAAGAAGCGACAGTAAAGCGATAAAACAAGTTGATTAGAAATCACAAACACAACATGGAACATGGCCGTGGTCCTCGTGTTCTGGAGAATAAGAAGTTCTGTTTGGGACAGACTTTGTGTGTTTAGAGGATTCTGTCGGTTTAATGGACGTCTTTGCTTTCACTTCCTGACAGTCGTCAATCATGAAAACAGGACATTTTCCACTGCAGGAACTCTCAGGTTGTTTTAAGGCGACCTGAAGCTGAAGCTTTGAGCCGTTAAGTCTAAAGACGAGAAGACGAGCTGGTCTTTCTCTACAGCTGCTAAAGTGAGAATTAGAAAAGCTGTCAAAAGTCAAACCAAAGCTCTTCATGTTAAGTAGCAGCTGTTTGGTTTTTCTGTAGCAGCCGATCATATAAAACAAGAGAATACACAACCAGCTGTCTTCTGTTACTGACGGTGACTTTCTGAGAAGGTCTATAAGAAGATGTTTTCTAGAAAAGTCTTTTTCTCAACTGTTTGTGCAGATTTTACTCACTTTACTGTTGGATGGCAACAAAAGAGCCGATTGGAGGCTTTTGTTCCTGCACCGAACGGTCACCTGTCGTTACATGTTGAAGGTGGAGTCTGAGATTCTTCAGAAGGATTATTTATCTTTGCATATTTAGCTTGTTTAGCTTGTTAGCATCTGTCAGATTTACTGTCCTTCTTCCTTCGACTGTCCCCTGCACAAGGACAAACCTGCACAGGACAAGTCGTATCATAAAGACCAGCGACTCTGATTCAGCTGTTTTCCACTGCAGGAACTTGCAGGATGTTTATTCTGATGCCCGAATCATTGAATTCAGTTCAGGTGAAGACCTTACGAACTTTAACCAAAGAAAGGGAACCCAACAATCCAAAGCTGTCAAAACAAACCTATAACGAGGAGGAAAAGAAACTCCAACAGAACCAGGCTCAGGAAAAGGCGACCGTCTGCCCCGACCATTTGGGGTGAGAGCAGGGATGAAGGGGTGGGAACAGCAGGATAGCATCACCCCTATAGAACCTCTTAAAAGGCCATTTTTGGGGGTGGAAACAGAACTTTCTGCTCTTTTCTAAAATCACCATGTAGTCCAGCAAACCTCAGTTGTTCTGTTTGCATAGAACTGAAGTAACGTCCAGTCACGACTGGCTGTTGGTGCAGTCTGAGGGAACACTGAAGCTGTTGGATTCTACGTCACAATGAAAACAGAAAGACTAAAAGGGCTGATTAGCTGGCGAGCAACTCCCTGAGTTCCTTCTGTGGAAAGACGCCAGTAGTCGGATAAATTTGCTTATTGTTCATGTGAGTCGATCTGTTTCTGTCGCTCTCGTGTAAATCCGGTGTTTCTGTGCCCTCGCAGGTCTCAGTAACATCATCGGCGTGATCGTCTACATCTCGGCTGCGCTGGGCGACATTTCTCCGAAGAAGGACGAGGACAAGAAGTGGCAGTACTCGTACGGCTGGTCCTTCTACTTCGGCGGTCTGTCCTTCATCATGGCCGAGATGGTCGGCGTGCTGGCCGTCAACATCTACATCGAGAAGAACAAGGAGCTGCGCTGCCGCTCGCGCACCGACATCTTCAAGAGCACCACGCACGCCATGCTGCGCCTGCCCAGCTACCGCTTCCGCCGCCGCTCCCGCTCCTCGTCCCGCTCCACCGACCCCTCGCGCTCCCGGGACCCCTCGCCCGTCGGCGGCAGCGGGGGGAAGAACTTCGGCCTGCCTCCGTCGGCGCTGCTCTCCCAGGGCCCGATCTCGGTGTCCACCTTACCGAACCCACACTCCCGCTCCCACACGGCGCTGGCCGGCGGCGACATCTCCCTCTACACGCTGTCCCGAGACCCCAAACTGGGGGGTCTGCCGCCCATGTACGGAACGGTGGACAGGGCCACGCTCTACCAGCTGCACAACTGCTTCCCAAAGGACGGCGGCGGCGGGGGAGGCGGCGTGATGATGAGCGGTACCCTCCCCTCGCTCAAGTCCCACAATCCTTCCAATTCTTCCAACTCCAACGCGCAGATGCCCAACTCGGTGGGCTCCGGACCGCCGCCCTTCACCTCGTCCACGGTCGACCGGGAGCGAGGGATGGGGACTCTGGACAGGCTGAAGGGCGACCGGGAGAGCAACTCCAACACCCTGAACCGGAAGACAACGCCCGTGTAGAGAGAGAACAAGACGAGGGAGGCGAGGAGGAAGGAAGGACGGGAGAGAACGAGTGCAAGTAAAAAATGAAGCGAGCGAAGGAGCGCTGCATCCACGTGGCTCAACAGGAAACAGGTAGAACCAGCGGCGGGCAGGTGAAAACGCTGCATCTCTCCCTCCATGTTCACTGTTATTTAGTCCAATCTCACTGAGAACAAAAAGAAGAGTAATAACAGAGCGATAATAACAACAACAATGAACTCTCACAATAAAACTATTTTGATATTTTAATGTGCTAGAAATGATTTATTTTGTTAATGATCAAACGCAATTAACCTTGGGCTATTATGAAAAATGTTTCACATGATTTTTGTGCAATATTTCTGCTAATTTAACCAGATCATCATTAGTGTACAATTGTTGTTGTGATTATTCTTAGCGTTATTACAGGCTAGATGTATTTGCAAACACTATAGTTTGGAATGAAGTTTAACGTTTGGTTTTTGGTTTTTTTTCTTCTCTTTTTTGACTTTTACTGTGAATTTCTTCCATGCAGAGCCGCTGGGCTGCCAGCGAGCTGTGCGTTACTGTGTCAAAGTGTCGAGCATGAGTGTGCACAACATGTGGACGGATGAGAGCCTGTATTATTTTTTTAACCCCCATATTACATGAGTTTCATTTATAATACAGAGTCAGATGTGAATACTGTAAATTGTCTTCCAATATTGATACCGAAAGAAATGCAACAATAACGTGAGTGACTGAGACAACTTCATCGTTATGGCGAGTTTTCTACGGGCCTCTGTTCGTCTTATTTCCATTCTAATCAGTGTTAACAGTAGTACTTGTAGCTATAGTCGTGTTGAAGATGTTTGTTCTTGGGCATTAACAGAAACCTCTGATTGGAGGACGCAGAAAAAAGAGAATAACACGTTTGTACAGAATCAGGTGAAGGTTGCTGCCTGAGCAGAAAAACAAAAAAAATCCTGTTTTTTTCTATGACGAGTCCCAAAGTGACACATGCAAATCATCATTTTCAGTGGCAAAAAAAAAGAACAAAAAAAACAAGAGACAATATGTATATGTGGGCTGAGAGGGTTTAAAAAAAAACAACACTGTAGAGGACAACTTTTCAGAACATACGTGTACATTGTAATTTACGCATATTTGTAAAGTCTATAGGTAGGTTTTTTTCGGGACCACTGTTCGAACATGGTGGGCAGGGCGGACTCCTGTTGGGCGGTTTCATCCCCCCCTTCCCGCCACACCTGCCCCCCTCCCCTGCCCATATTCGGTCATGTGATCAGTGTTTACCCATCACCAGTAACAGCGTCGCCGCGGAGACGAACCCCCCAAAGATTCTGCTCACTGTGCTTCCTCAGCTTCCTGAACTCTGACCTGTTTGTGTTGATGAGAATGTAAACACATGGAAACCCCGCCCCCTCCCCCCTCCCCCGATCTCCACCGACGCCCCTCCCTCCCCCACCTTCCACTCCATCGCCGCGAGCGACTGCAGATCAGGTGGTAACCGTGGAAACACCTGCGACGCGACGACGGAAAACAACGACCAGACGCTTCCAGATTCTCTACGTTTTGATTTCTTTGGTTTCGTTTGAGAAAAAGAATAATGTGATTAAAAAACTGCACACAGATAGCATTTATGTGGGCAATATGAATAGTATGTAGTTGAGAATAGATATATCTAGACAAATGATTATGGTTTATCTAAATGTGTGATAAACTTAAACACTGTATTGCACGAAGTTTATAAAAAACGACAATAACAGACATGTTCACAGACTGCTGTCTTCTGTTTCTTTCTTGCTGATTAGACGTCGTGTCTTCAGGTAAACATAACGAGTTGTGTGAGACGTATTTACATCCTTTAATTAGAACAAGTTAATTAAGCTTCATTAACTTCTACGTGTCTCTTCTGTTCATGAAGGCGTTTTGAAGTTGCACGATTTGACAATATAATTTTATTGATTATTTTACTGATAAAACACCTTTTCTAGGAAAAAGTTTCAAGCTGCTGATCGTATAAAGACTGGAGACAAAACACCAAATAAATAAAAGAAAAATATCTATCATGCAAAAGATAAACAGAAACCCTGTGGTCCAACATCCATCCATCATCTCTACACCTTCATCCTCACCAGGGTCATGGGGGCTGGAGCCTATCCCAGCTGACTCAGGGTGAAGGCAGGTTCACCTGGACAGGTAACCAGTCTATCACAGAGCTACACTTAGAGACAGACAACCAAGCACATGAATGAAAGTTTACATCTGCTTGTAACGACCACGTTGATCATGTCAGTCTTGGGTTTCTAATGACGCTGAATCTTCCATGATGGAATCATTGAAACATGAATCTTTGTCAC